AGACTAGACTATAGACTAGACTATAGACTAGACTATAGACTAGACTATAGACTAGACTATAGACTAGACTATAGACTAGACTATAGACTAGACTATAGACTAGACTATAGACTAGACTATAGACTAGACTATAGACTAGACTATAGACTAGACTATAGACTAGACTAGACTAGACTATAGACTAGACTATAGACTAGACTATAGACTAGACTATAGACAAGACTAGACTAGACTATACTATAGACTACACTATAGACTAGACTATAGACTAGACTATAGACTAGACTATAGATTAGACTATAGACTAGACTATAGACTAGACTATAGACTCGAAAAAGACTAGACTATAAACTTGATTATAGACTAGACTATAGACTAGACTACAGACTAGACTATAGACTAAACTATAGAATAGGCTATAGGCTAGACTATAGAATAGACTAGAATATATACCAGACTATAGACTAGACTATAGACTCGACTATAGAGTGCACTATAGACTAGACTATAGACTAGACTATAGAATAGATTAGACTATAGTCTAAACTATAGACTAGACTCGACTATAGACTTGACTATAGAGTGCACTATAGACTAGACTATAGACTTGACTATAGAGTGCACTATAGACTAGACTATAGACTAGATTACAAACTAGCCCATAGACTATACTATAGAGCAGTCTATAGACTGTATGCTAGCCTATAAACTAAATTAAATAATACTAAACTATATATTAGACTACAGACTACACTATAGAATAAACTATAGATTAGACTATAGACTAGATATAGACCACAATAGACTATATAGAGCATAATAGACTATATACTAGAACCAAAATCGAACTGAACTACAACTGAAATAGAACTGAACTAGAGGGAGTACTATTAGAAATTTTTAGACTGTAGACTTGACTATAAACTAGACTATAGATTAGACTGCAGGCTAGATTATAGATAGACTAGACTAAAGACTAGACTATAGAGAAGACCATAGACTAGACTATAGACAAGACTATAGAGAACACTATAGACTAGACTATAAACTAGACTATAGACTAGACTATAGACTAGATTATAGACTAGACTATAGACTAGACTAGACTATAGACTAGACTATAGACTAGACTAGACTAGACTATAGACTAGACTATAGACTAGACTATAGACTAGACTATAGACTAGACTATAGACTAGACTATAGACTAGACTATAGACTAGACTATAGACTAGACTATAGACTAGACTATAGACTAGACTATAGACTAGACTATAGACTAGACTATAGACTAGACTATAGACTAGACTATAGACTAGACTATAGACTAGACTATAGACTAGACTATAGACTAGACTATAGACTAGACTATAGACTAGACTATAGACTAGACTATAGACTAGACTATAGACCAGACTATAGACTAGACTATAGGCTAGACTATAGACTAGACTATAGACTAGACTATAGACTAGACTATAGACTAGACTATAGACTAGACTATAGACTAGACTATAGACTAGACTATAGACTAGACTATAGACTAGACTATAGAATAGACTATAGAATAGACTATAGACTAGACTATAGAATAGACTATAGAATAGACTATAGACTAGACTATAGACTAGACTATAGACTAGACTATAGACTAGACTATAGACTAGACTATACACTAGACTATAGACTAGACTAGACTAGACTAGAACAGAACTGAACTAGAACTGAACTAGAAGTGAACTAGAACTGAACTAGAACTGAACCAGAACTGAACCAGAACTGAACCAGAACCGAACTAGAACTGAACTAGAGGGAGTACTATTAGAAATTTTTAATCTTTTTATAAAACTTTAATATTTTTTTTTTTTTGCTTAGTTTCTTCCAAACCACTGTTTATTGTGCTTAAACATTTTAAATTGCTGGAACAGGTGCTTTTATTGTTGTTTTCCCATTATGATTGCAGTCAAACGGCATCATAAATTCTTCACAACAATGTTGTTGCTTTTATTTAAATGTTTTGTTTCATTTCCAAAATATTTTTGTAGAAAAATATTCTTTAATTTGTTTATTTTGCCAGATTTTATGATTTTCAGCACGTATTGGCTTAAGGAAAAGAAGAAAACTAAAAGTAGTTGTTACTTGGTTAAATTCGACTACTTGCCAAAAAAAAAGAACCTAAACCATTCCGAAATTAAAGGCAAGGCAGTAAACATTGCAAAACTGAAGTAAAATAAGTTTTTTGTTGTTGTTTTTTGTATCAACTTTTGTAGCCATAAAATCCTCTTTATACAACATTGTCTTACAATTGGTATTATTTGCCATCAAAGAATCTCAAGTGTTCAGGGTTTTATGTGTAACTTTAACAGCAAAAAAAGAAAGACTACAAACTATAGTATGAAAAATTCTTGAATTATGACTGAAAACAACAACAAAACACGTTCCAACATATTGCAACAAATTTTGCACAAAAAGTCATAAAAAAATTTAACTTTATTACCCCACAATAATAAATACTATGTACAAGGACAACAACAACAACAACATCAGTCACAACAACATTTTAAATTTATTGCACAAAATCTTATTATTAGAAATCAAAATGTAAGATATTTTAATATTTCAAGATGTTTTTTTATTAACAATTTAAAAGTGATTAACCGAGTTTTTAATATTCGCAAGAAACCGGTTTATACATTTTTTATTAACGTAAATAATCAAAGGTAAGTTCACATCTAACAAATATTTATTAATTTATACAACCGTAATATACTTTTGAAGATATATATTTAGGCCGTCTTTTTTATCTGTTTTTCTTCAAATATTTGATAGGTGTGAACGCACCTAAAGCTTTTTTTAAAACATTTTATGTTTTAGTTTTGTTCTAGCTCTGTTCTAGTTCTGTTCTAGTTCTGTTCTAGTTCTGTTCTAGTTCTGTTCTAGTTCTGTTCTAGTTCTGTTCTAGTTCTGTTCTAGTTCTGTTCTAGTTCTGTTCTAGTTCTGTTCTAGTTCTGTTCTAGTTCTGTTCTAGTTCTGTTCTAGTTCTGTTCTAGTTCTGTTCTAGTTCTGTTCTAGTTCTGTTCAAGTTCTGTTCTAGTTCTGTTCTAGTCCTGTTCTAGTCCTGTTCTAGTTCTGTTCTAGTTCTGTTCTAGTTCTGTTCTAGTTCTGTTCTAGTTCTGTTCTAGTTCTGTTCTAGTTCTGTTCTAGTTCTGTTCTAGTTCTGTTCTAGTTCTGTTCTAGTTCTGTTCTAGTTCTGTTCTAGTTCTGTTCTAGTTCTGTTCTAGTTCTGTTCTAGTTCTGTTCTAGTTCTGTTCTAGTTCTGTTCTAGTTCTGTTCTAGTTCTGTTCTAGTTCTGTTCTAGTTCTGTTCTAGTTCTGTTCTAGTTCTGTTCTAGTTCTGTTCTAGTTCTGTTCTAGTTCTGTTCTAGTTCTGTTCTAGTTCTGTTCTAGTTCTGTTCTAGTTCTGTTCTAGTTCTGTTCTAGTTCTGTTCTAGTTCTGTTCTAGTTCTGTTCTAGTTCTGTTCTAATTCTGTTCTAGTTCTGTTCTAGTTCTGTTCTAGTTCTGTTCTAGTTCAGTTCTGTTCTAGTTCTGTTCTAGTTCTGTTCTAGTTCTGTTCTAGATCTGTTCTAGATCTGTTCTAGTTCTGTTCTAGTTCTGTTCTAGTTCTGTTCTAGTTCTGTTCTAGTTCTGTTCTAGTTCTGTTCTAGTTCTGTTCTAGTTCTGTTCTAGTTCTGTTCTAGTTCTGTTCTAGTTCTGTTCTAGTTCTGTTCTAGTTCTGTTCTAGTTCTGGTCTAGTTCTGTTCTAGTTCTGTTTCTAGTTCTGTTCTAGTTCTGTTCTAGTTCTGTTCTAGTTCTGTTCTAGTTCTGTTCTAGTTCTGTTCTAGTTCTGTTCTAGTTCTGTTCTAGTTCTGTTCTAGTTCTGTTCTAGTTCTGTTCTAATTCTGTTCTAATTCTGTTCTGGTTCTGTTCTAGTTCTGTTCTAGTTCTGTTCTAGTTCTGTTCTAGTTCTGTTCTAGTTCTGTTCTAGTTCTGTTCTAGTTCTGTTCTAGTTCTGTTCTAGTTCTGTTCTAGTCTGTTCTAGTTTCTAGTTCTGTTCTGTTCTAGTTCTGTTCTAGTTCTGTTCTAGTTCTGTTCTAGTTCTGTTCTAGTTCTGTTCTAGTTCTGTTCTAGTTCTGTTCTAGTTCTGTTCTAGTTCTGTTCTAGTTCTGTTCTAGTTCTGTTCTAGTTCTGTTCTAGTTCTGTTCTAGTTCTGTTCTAGTTCTGTTCTAGTTCTGTTCTAGTTCTGTTCTAGTTCTGTTCTAGTTCTGTTCTAGTTCTGTTTCTAGTTCTGTTCTAGTTCTGTTCTAGTTCTGTTCTAGTTCTGTTCTAGTTCTGTTCTAGTTCTGTTCTAGTTCTGTTCTAGTTCTGTTCTAGTTCTGTTCTAGTTCTGTTCTAGTTCTGTTCTAGTTCTGTTCTAGTTCTGTTCTAGTTCTGTTCTAGTTCTGTTCTAGTTCTGTTCTAGTTCTGTTCTAGTTCTGTTCTAGTTCTGTTCTAGTTCTGTTCTAGTTCTGTTCTAGTTCTGTTCTAGTTCTGTTCTAGTTCTGTTCTAGTTCTGTTCTAGTTCTGTTCTAGTTTCTCAGTTCTGTTCCAGTTCTGTTCTAGTTCTGCTCTAGTTCTGTTCTAGTTCTGTTCTAGTTCTGTTCTAGTTCTAGTTCTGTTCTAGTTCTGTTTTAGTTCTGTTCTAGTTCTGTTCTAGTTCTGTTTAGTTCTGTTCTAGTTCTGTTCTAGTTCTGTTCTAGTTCTGGTCTAGTTCTGTTCTAGTCCTGCTCCATTTCGGTTCTTTAAGATTATTGCAAAATAATTACGCACTTATATCTATTAGATTTTATGCAAATTTTTTAATTGAAATGTAATTAATTAATTTACTGATTAGACGTGTTTTTTACACATACCTCCATAAATAATTAAACAGCTTCAGTCTAGTATCTTTAGTAATGGTTGCATTTAGTCGTTGTTTATCTTTAAAACAGTAAACAGGTCCAGTGTGTAATTAATTTGAGTCTTAAAATATATTTAAAAAATGTCTTTAACAAGATTATTGGAAACTTTTGGAATAGAGGGGACAACGAATATTATGGATCTACTAAACCACAAAAAGATTAAAACTGGAGGCATTTGCTTGGCATCTCTAATGGCGGCATATGTTTTTTACAAATGGCGAGAGGGACCCTATTACAACAAACCCTATAACCTAGAGGGCAAAGTTGCTATAGTAACCGGTTGCAATACAGGCATTGGCAAAGAAATGGCTTTGGACTTGGCGCGCAGAGGAGCAAAAGTGTATATGGCTTGTCGTAACTATGAAAAATGTGAACAGGCCAGAAGTGAAATAATCACAGAAACTGGAAATCTCAATGTGTTTAATCGCACTTTGGACTTAGCGTCTTTGGAGTCCATAAGACAATTTGTTAAAGATTTTTTATTGGAAGAACCTCATTTGGATATACTCATCAATAATGCTGGAATATGTTGTGTAAAACGCAGCCTAACCGTAGATGGTTTTGAACAGCACTTGGGTGTTAATCATTTGGGTCACTTTCTGTTAACCAATTTATTATTGGATATTTTGAAAAAGTCCGCCCCTAGTCGTATTATAGTGGTATCATCTATTATACACTATGTGGCCTCTATTAAAAAGAAAGATTTAAATAGTGAACGTCATTACAATAAAATGTTGGCCTATGCCCAAAGTAAATTGGCCAATATATTATTTACGCGCAAATTATCGCAACTACTCAAGGGATCTGGAGTTACGGTTAATTGTTTACATCCCGGGGTGGTGAGAACAGAAATATGGCGTAATGATGCTATATTGGATTTACTAAATGTTCTATTTAGCTGGTTACTGTTACGTTCGCCTAAAGGTGGGGCCCAAACAGCTTTATATTTAGCCATCGATCCGGAGCTAAAAGATAAAAGTGGTGACTATTATGATAGAATGAAAAAGACCGAAGTAGCACCTAAAGCCAAAGATGATGCAATGGCGGAATGGTTGTGGCAAGAAAGTGAAAAATTAGTTGGTTTGAATAAGGAAATTTAAAGCAAATTTTTGATTAAAATTGAGAAAATTAAAAAAATAAATTAAGATTTTTAAAGCTAAAAAGTTAAGAAAATATTTAAATAAAGAAAATGTGATAAAATATAACAAAACGACATGAACTGTAGATTTTTAAAGTTATTTTGGATTAACATGTGAAAAACCACAAATACCTGTTGTCTGGATTATAGACTAGCATACGGTCTGGACTATAGTATAGTCCATGGACTGGATTATGGTCTACTCGGTAGTCTAGTCTATAGTGTAGAACAGAACTAGAAAACTAGAACATAATTAAAACAGAACAAGAACAGTACTGGAACTAGAACAGAACTAGAAAAAAACTAGAACAGAACCAGAACTAGAAGAGAACTAAAATAGAACTAGAACAGAACTAGAACAGAACTAAAACAGAAATAAGTATAAGAGAACTATAACAGAACCAGAACTAGAACAGAACTAGAATAGAACTAGAACAGAACCAGAACAGAACTAGAACAGAACTAGAAAAGAATTAGAATAGATCTAGAATAGATCTAGAACAGAACTAGAACAGAACTATAACAGAACTAAAACAGAACTAGAATATAACTGGAACAGAACTAGAACAAAACTAGAACAAAACTAGGACAGACCTATAACAGAACTAGAACAGAACTAGAACAGAACTAGAAAAGAACTAGAACAGAATTAGAACAGAACTAGAACAGAACTAGAACAGAACTAGAACAGAACTAGAACAGAACTAGAACAGAACTAGAACAGAACTAGAACAGAACTAGAACAGAACTAGAACAGAACTAGAACAGAACTAGAACAGAACTAGAACAGAACTAAAACAGAACTAGAACGGAACAAGAACGGAACTAGAACAGAACTAGAACAGAAGTAGAACGGAATAAAACAGAACTAGAACAAAACTAGAAAATAACTAGAACAGAACTGGAACAGAACTAGAACAGGACTAGAACAGAACAGTACTAGAACAGAACTAAAATAGAACTAGAACAGAACTTGAACAGAACTAGAGCAGAACTAGAGCAGAACTAGAGCAGAACTAGAACAGAACTAGAACAGAACTAGAACGGAACTAGAACAGAAGTAGAACGGAATAAAACAGAACTAGAACAAAACTAGAAAATAACTAGAACAGAACTAGAACAGAACTAGAACAGAACTAGAACAGAACTAGAACGGAACTAGAACTAAACTACAACAGAAATTAAACATACTATTATCCTGTTTACTGTATAGTTTGTAGTCTAGTTTATGCTGTAGTCTACAGACTAGTCCATAGTCGAGTATATAATCTAGACTATAGTCTAGACTATAGTCTAGTCTATAGTCTAGTCTATAGTCTAGTCTATAGTCTAGTCTATAGTCTAGTCTATAGTCTAGTCTATAGTCTAGTCTATAGTCTAGTCTATAGTCTAGTCTATAGTCTAGTCTATAGTCTAGTCTATAGTCTAGTCTACAGTCTAGTCTATAGTCCAGTCTATAGTCTAGTCCATAGTCTAGTCTAAAGTCTAGTCTATAGTCTAGTCTATAGTCTAGTCTATAGTCTAGTCTATAGTCTAGTCTATAGTCTAGTCTATAGTCTAGTCTATAGTCTAGTCTATAGTCTAGTCTATAGTCTAGTCTATAGTCTAGTCTATAGTCTAGTCTATAGTCTAGTCTATAGTCTAGTCTATAGTCTAGTCTATAGTCTAGTCTATAGTCTAGTCTATAGTCTAGTCTATAGTCTAGTCTATAGTCTAGTCTATAGTCTAGTCTATAGTCTAGTCTATAGTCTAGTCTATAGTCTAGTCTATAGTCTAGTCCATAGTCTAGTCTATAGTCTAGTCTATAGTCTAGTCTATAGTCTAGTCCATAGTCTAGCCTATAGTCTAGTCTATAGTCTAGTCTATAGTCTAGTCTATAGTCTAGTCTATAGTCTAGTCTATAGTCTAGTCTATAGTCTAGTCTATAGTCTAGTCTATAGTCTAGTCTATAGTCTAGTCTATAGTCTAGTCTATAGTCTAGTCTATAGTCTAGTCTACAGTCTAGTCTATATTCAAGTCTATAGTCTAGTCTATAGTCTAATCTATAGTCTAGTCTATTGTCTAGTCTACAGTCTTGTCTATAGTGTAGCCTATAGTTTATAGTATAGTGTACAATCTAGTATATGTGCTAATTTATAGTTTAGTCTATAGTCTATAGTCTTGTCTATAGTCTAGTCTATAGTCTTGTCTATAGTCTAGTCTATAGTCTAGTCTATAGTCTAGTCTATAGTCTAGCCTATAGTCTAGTCTATAGTCTAGTCTATAGTCTAGTCTATAGTTTAGTCTATAGTCTAGTCTATAGTCTAGTCTCTAGTCTAGTCTATAGTCTAGTCTATAGTCTAGTCTATAGTCTAGTCTATAGTCTAGTCTATAGTCAAGTCTATAGTTCGGTCCAGTCTATAGTCTAGTCTACAGCCTAGTCTATAGTCTAGTCCATAGTATAGTCTATAGTCGAGTATATAGTCTAATCTATAGTTTAGTCTATAGTTTAGTCTATAGTCTAGTCTATAGTCTATAGTCTAATCTATAGTCTAGTCTATAGACTAGTCTATAGTCTAGTCTATATATTTCTTTAATAAATATGAGAATTTTAAAGTCTTAACTTGAATTTTATAAAGATTTTTAAACAATTATTGTTTATTTAAAGAAAGGAGAGCTTTAAAGTAAAATGAGTAGCAAAAATTGGTTTATTTGATACACTAACATTTTATATACAATTTCTATGCCCAACATAAATAATATGATTAACATTAGTGTCTAATTAGTTATGTAGCATTATGAATGTTTAAATAGAAAAAATATAAACTGATAGGCAGACAGTTATAGAAAAAAATTATGAAAAAGGAAGAAAAAAAATATACTAGGAATAGTGTTAATATGACAAGGCTTTAATGATGTTCATTATTATAATGAGCGTAATAATGATGATGATTTTGAAAGTTTTCCAGCAGTAGTAGTTAGTTTTAGCTGTTTTATTGTTGGGGATGTGGTGGGGGTGTTAATGACTGGGAATTCATTTGTTTGTAAATGACTGACAGTCAGTAGTTGTGTTAGTGCTATCACTACTACTGCTGCCACTGCTATAGTTATTAACTCATTTCATTCATTACATTTCTGCGTTGTTTTAATAATGGACTCCCCAGAGATCTTAATAACAACAACAAAAAATAAAAACCAAAAGACTGACTAATGAAAGTTTGTGTGTATTATATGAAAAATGGAAAACCATGTCATGATGACATAGTTTCGGTGTCATTTGAATGGAAATAAAATGTAATAGATTTACAGGATAAAAAAACACAAGAAAACATCATGTTTATTTGCTCTTGGTTTGTTTTTTTAGGCAATTTAATTAAGTAATTAAGATGTTAATGAATAATTATGCAGCTGGAAACAAGCAACAAGTTTCCAACTGAGTATAAAGATACAAACTAATGGACAAAAAAAAACAAATAAGAAATTAAAGTTACTAAAAATTTAATTTAAGATTATTTAAAGAGAGACATTAGCTTAATCAGAAGGAGGCCAATTATTTCTTCTAACATCCCTTTTCTCCAATTCCTAGCAACATTTCCTTTATAGAGCAATATAAATCAACTTCAAACCTGTTCTTAGACATTTCATTTTAACCCACAAATTATGATAGCGGCTTTACTGTTTGAAGAATCCCTTTTCAAAACACAAATTTGTTACGCTCAAATAGTGCTACACGAAAAAGTAATATAAAGAGGGTTGCGAAAAACAGTTATAATTGTCTAGCATAACTCTTGACATGGGCTAATTTTTATATGGTTGTTTGGCCACTACAAATGAAATGGGTCAAAATGTCTATGAAATAAACTAATTTGCGCAAAAAATGAGGAAAATACAAGACAATTATGAAGATATTTTTGAAGAAAATAATGATGTCCAGCAAAGAGAACTAGAACCGAATTAGAACAGAACTAGAACAGAACTAGAACAGAACTAGAACAGAACTAGAACACAGAACTAGAACTGAACTAGAACAGAACTAGAACAGAACTAGAACAGAACTAGAACAGAACTAGAACAGAACTAGAACAGAACTAGAACAGAACTAGAACAGAACTAGAACAGAACTAAAACAGAACTAAAACAGAACTAGAACAGAACAAAAACTAGAACAGAACTAAAACTAGAACAGAACTAGAACAGAACTAGAACAGAACTAGAACAGAACTAGAACAGAACTAGAACAGAACTAGAACAGAACTAGAACAGAACTAGAACAGAACTAGAACAGAACTAGAACAGAACTAGAACAGAACTAGAACAGAACTAGAACAGAACTAGAACAGAACTAGAACAGAACTAGAACAGAACTAGAACAGAACTAGAACAGAACTAGAACAGAACTAGAACAGAACTAGAACAGAACTAGAACAGAACTAGAACAGAACAAGAACAGAACTAAAACAGAACTAGAACCGAACTAGAACCGAACTAGTACAGAACTAGAACAGAACTAGAACAGAACTGGAACAAAACTAGAACAGAACTAGAACAGAACTAGAAAAGAACTAGAAAAGAACTAGAACAGAACCAGAAAAGAACTAGAACAGAACTAGAAAAGAACTAGAAAAGCACTAGAACAGAACTAGAACAGACTAGAACAGAACTAGAACAGAACTAGAACAGAACTAGAACAGAACTAGAACAGAACTAGAACAGAACTAGAACAGAACTAGAACAGAACTAGAACAGAACTAGAACAGAACTAGAACTAGAACAGAACTAGAACAGAACTAGAACAGAACTAGAACAGAACTAGAACTAGAACAGAACTAGAACAGAACTAGAACAGAACTAGAACATAACTAGAACAGAACTAGAACAGAACTAGAACAGAACTAGAACAGAACTAGAACAGAACTAGAACAGAACTAGAACAGAACTAGAACAGAACTAGAACAGAACTAGAACTGAACTAGAACTAGAAACTAGAACAGAACTACTAGAACAGAACTAGAACAGAACTAGAACAGAACTAGAACAGAACTAGAACAGAACTAGAACAGAACTAGAACAGAACTAGAACAGAACTAGAACAGAACTAAAACAGAACTAGAACAGAACTAGAACAGAACTAGAACAGAACTAAAACAGAACTAAACTAGAACAGAACTAGAACAAACTAGAACAGAACTAGAACAGAACTAGAACAGAACTAGAACAGAACTAGAACAGAACTAGAACAGAACTAGAACAGAACTAGAACAGAACTAGAACAGAACTAGAACAGAACTAGAACAGAACTAGAACAGAACTAGAACAGAACTAGAACAGAACTAGAACAGAACTAGAACAGAACTAGAACAGAACTAGAACAGAACTAGAACAGAACTAGAACAGAACTAGAACAGAACTAGAACAGAACTAGAACAGAACTAGAACAGAACTAGAACAGAACTAGAACAGAACTAGAACAGAACTAGAACAGAACTAGAACAGAACTAGAACAGAACTAGAACAGAACTAGAACAGAACTAGAACAGAACTAGAACAGAACTAGAACAGAACTAGAACAGAACTAGAACAGAACTAGAACAGAACTAGAACAGAACTAGAACAGACCTAGAACAGAACAAGAACAGAACTAGAACAGACTTAGAACAGAATTAGAACAGAACTAGAACAGAACTAGAACAGAACTAGAACAGAACTAGAACAGAACTAGAACAGAACTAGAACAGAACTAGAACAGAACTAGAACAGAACTAGAACAGAACTAGAACAGAACTAGAACAGAACTAGAACAGATCTAGAACAGAACTAGAACTAGAACAGAACTAGAACTAGAACAGAACTAGAACTAAAACAGAACTAGAACAGAACTAGAACAGAACTAGAACAGAACTAGAACAGAACTAGAACAAAACTAGAACAGAACTAGAACAGAACTAGAACAGAACTAGAACAGAACTAGAACAGAACTAGAACAGAACTAGAACAGAACTAGAACAGAACTAGAACAGAACTAGACAGAACTAGAACAGAACTAGAACAGAACTAGAACAGAAACTAGAACAGAACTAGAACAGAACTAGAACAGAACTAGAACAGAACTAGAACAGAACTAGAACAGAACTAGAACAGAACTAGAACAGAACTAGAACAGAACTAGAACAGAACTAGAACAGAACTAGAACAGAACTAGAACAGAACTAGAACAGAACTAGAACAGAACTAAACCAGAACTAGAACAGAACTAGAACAGAACTAGAACAGAACTAGAATAGAACTAGAACAGAACTAGAACAGAACTAGAACAGAACAGAACTAGAATAGAACTAGAACAGAACTAGAACAGAACTAGAACAGAACAGAACTAGAACAGAACTAGAACAGAACTAGAACAGAACTAGAACAGAACTAGAACAGAACTAGAACAGAACTAGAACAGAACTAGAACAGAACTAGAACAGAACTAGAACAGAACTAGAACAGAACTAAACCAGAACTAGAACAGAACTAGAACAGAACTAGAACAGAACTAGAACAGAACTAGAACAGAACTAGAACAGAACTAGAACAGAACTAGAACAGAACTAGAACAGAACTAGAACAGAACTAGAACAGAACTAGAACAGAACTAGAACAGAACTAGAACAGAACTAGAACAGAACTAGAACAGAACTAGAACAGAACTAGAACAGAACTAGAACAGAACTAGAACAGAACAAGAACAGAACTAGAACGGACTTAGAACAGAACTAGAACAGAACTAGAACAGAACTAGAACAGAACTAGAACAGAACTAGAACAGAACTAGAACAGAACTAGAACAGAATTAGAACAGAATTAGAACAGAACTAGAACAGAACTAGAACAGAACTAGAACAGAACTAGAACAGAACAGAACTAGAACAGAACAAGAACAGAACTAGAACAGAACTAGAACAGAACAAGAACAGAACTAGAACAGAACTAGAACAGAACTAGAACTGAACTAGAACTGAACTAGAACTGAACTAGAACTGAACTAGAACTGAACTAGACTGAACTAGAACTGAACTAGAACTGAACTAGAACTGAACTAGAACTGAACTAGAACTGAACTAGAACTGAACTAGAACTGAACTAGAACTGAACTAGAACTGAACTAGAACTGAACTAGAACAGAACTAGTACTAAACCAGCACTAAACTAGAACAGAACCAATATTCTTGGATTTCAAAGGCGAAATATTCCATTGCCCTGAACTTGTCACACCTACCACGTTTATTTTCGTCAATCAATTGCAAATCTAGTTGTACATATGGATATTTTAAACATCTGGTATTCGAAACAAGTAAGTGAGAATGTGCAACTGAAAATAATTATAAAAGTGTATTCAACCTTATCTATGGATTACAAACGTTTTCAAAAATACGTATGTAATTAAGTATGTAAATATGAACATACATATGTTCGTATGTATGTATATTTGAATTAAAAATTGTTTATCGCTACAATTGTTATTTTTAAAAGAGAAAACATACATAGAGAGAATGAGAGTATGAGGAAAAGAGAGGGAGAGAGACCGATAGAGAGTTGTTTAATGATCAGCGATTCAGCATGACAACAAAACATTGTTTGGAAAAACTCTCAGGCGGGGAAAATAATGTGTAATGCTTACAAAACGTTCTTTGGAGATTTATTATAATCCAGTTGGGAAAATAACAAAAATCCGCGATCACTTAAAAAATAAATCATTTTCTCCTTAACCCCACCATATTTTCACTTTCCTGCCACAACCAATCAGCCATATCATCATCTTTAGCCTTCGCCAGCAAAGGATACAATTTCATTTTGTCATAAAAACCTCCACTTTTAAACTGCACTTCAGGATCCATAGCCAAAAACAAAGTAGTTTGTGCTCCTCCCCTAGTAGAACGGAATATAAACTTGGATAATATGAATCTAAATAAATTCAAAAGAGGATCATGGCGCATTAATTCCGTTTGCACTACGCCAGGATGTAAACAATTAACGCTAACACTCGACTCCTTGAGCAGACTAGACAATTTTCGGGTAAATAAAATATTGGCCAATTTACTGCGTCCATAGGCTTTATAACGTGTATAACCCTTTTCAATATTGATATCTTCCTTATCAAAGTTACCCAGAATATAAGCCAATGAGCTGACCACTATTATGCGACTAGGAGCAGAGGCTTTAATTAAGTCCATTAGTAGATTGGTTAAAAGAAAGTGACCCAAATGATTGACAGCCAAATGTTGCTCATAACCATCTGGGGTTAGTTGGCGGTTAGTACTTAGTATCCCTGCATTATTGATTAAAATATCCAGACGTGTCTGCTCTTTTAAGAAATGCTCTGCAAATTCCCTCACCGAACTTAGCGAGGACAAATCCAAAGTACGATTGAATACTTGGGTATTGCCAGTAAGCTTAACAATTTCCTTTCTAGCCTCCTCACATTTCTCAAAATTACGACAGGCCATATAAACTTTGGCTCCTCTTTTAGCCAATTCCAAAACGGTTTCCTTGCCTATACCAGTATTGCAGCCAGTTATCAACACCACTTTGCCATCCAAACGGGTTTTCTCAGTGTAACGGGGTCCCTCACGCCATTTATAAAAAGCAAACATAGCTGCGAATGTTAGCACAGACCAACAGATGACTGGACCACCCTTAAAATTCCAGATCTGCAACTGATCGCTACACGGCAGACAATTAAGAATTTCCTCTAATGTCATGTTGCTGTGAGGAATGTAATCGAAGTGTTACAGTTGTGAGTAATAAATTCATATTTTAATTAGTTGTATTTATAAAAGTTAATGTAATTAAAATGTTTAATTGTTTTATTTTAAATAAATTAGCAATTAATTTAAATTCATACAAAGTTCATTGTTTAACTGCCTTTTAACTACAGCTGTTATGAGCAGTGGCGGCCAAAATGCTCTGCCCTGATCATAACATTTTCCTATCAACTTTTTATATAGAGAAATAAACAGAGGGTAATATAAAGAGAGAGAGAGAGAAGGAGAGAGAAAAAGCTAGAGTAGCCAGAGCGAGAAACGTTACTATGATCTGGTCTATATTTTTGACATTCTATAGTCTGGACTATACTTTAGTCTATAGTCTGGACTATAGTTTAATCTACAGTCTGGCCTGTAGTTCAGTCTATAATCTTCACTATAGTTTAGTCGATAATCTGGACTATTGTTTAGTCTAGTCTGGATTGTAGTCTAGTCTATAGTCTCGACTAAAATTTAGTCTATAGTCTGGACTATATCTTAGTCTATAGTTAAGCCTATAGTCTGGACTATAGTTTAGTCAATAGTCTGGACTATAGTTTAGTCTATAGTCTGGACTATAGTTTAGTCTATAGTCTGGACTATAGTTTAGTCTATAGTCTGGACTATAGTTTAGTCTATAGTCTGGACTATAGTTTAGTCTATAGTCTGGACTATAGTTTAATCCATAGTCTGGACTATAGTTTAATCCATAGTCTGGACTATAGTTTAGTCTATAGTCTGGACTATAGTTTAGTCGATAATCTGGACTATTGTTTAGTCGATAATCTGGACTATTGTTTAGTCTAGTCTGGATTGTAGTCTAGTCTATAGTCTAGACTATAGTTTAGTCTATAGTCGGGACTATAGCTTAGTCTATAGTCTGGTCTATAGTTTAGTCTATTGTCTGGACTATAGTTTAGTCTAAAGTCTGGACTATAGTTTAGTCTATAGTCTGGGCTATAGTTTAGTCTGGACTACAGTTTAGCCTATAGTCTGGACTATAGTTTAGTCGATAATCTGGACTATTGTTTAGTCGATAATCTGGACTATTTTTTAGTCTAGTCTGGATTGTAGTCTAGTCTATAGTCTGGACTATAGCTAAGTCTAGACTATAGTTTAGTCAATAGTCTGGACTATAGTGTATTCTATAGTCTGGACTATAGTTTAGTCTATTGTCTGGACTATAGGTTAGTCTATAGTCTGGACTATAATTTAGTCTATAGTCTGGACTATAGTTTAGTAGATAATTTGTACTATTGTTTAGTCTAGTCTGGACTATAGTCTAGTCTATAGTCTGGACTATAGTCTAGTCTATAGTCTGGACTATAGTCTAGTCTATAGTCTGGACTATAGTCTAGTCTATAGTCTGGACTATAGTCTAGTCTATAGGCTGGACTATAGTCTAGTCTATAGTCTGGACTATAGTCTAGTCTATAGTCTGGACTATAGTCTAGTCTATAGTCTGGACTATAGTCTAGTCTATAGTCTGGACTATAGTCTAGTCTATAGTCTGGACTATAGTCTAGTCTATAGTCTGGACTATAGTCTAGTCTATAGTCTGGACTATAGTCTACTCTATAGTCTGGACTATAGTCTAGTCTATAGTCTGGACTATAGTCTAGTCTATAGTATGGACTATAGTCTAGTCTATAGTCTGGACTATAGTCTAGTCTATAGTCTGGACTATAGTCTACTCTATAGTCTGGACTATAGTCTAGTCTATAGTCTGGACTATAGTCTGGACTATAGTCTGGACTATAGTCTAGTCTATAGTCTGGACTATAGTCTACTCTATAGTCTGGACTATAGTCTAGTCTATAGTATGGACTATAGTCTAGTCTATAGTCTAGTCTGAACTACAGTCTAATCTATAGTCTGGACTATAGTCTAGTCTATAGTCTGGACTATAGTCTAGTCTATAGTCTGTACTATAGTCTAGTCAATAGTCTGGACTATAGATTAGTCTATAGTCTGGACTATAGATTAGTCTATAGTCTGGACTTTAGTTTAGTCTATAGTCTGGACTATTGTTTAGTCTATAGTCTACACTATAGTTTAATCTATGGTCTGGACAATACTTTAGTCTATAGTCAGGACTATAGTTAAATATATGGTATGGGCTATAGTTTAGCATATAGTTTGGACTATAATTTAGTCTATAGTCTGGACTATAGTTTAGTCTATAATCTGGATTATAGTTTAGTCTATAGTCTGGACTATAGTTTAGTCTATAGTCTGGACTATAGTCTAGTCATTAATCTGGACTATAGTCTAGTCTATAGTCTGGACTATAGTCTGCACTATAGTCTAGTATATATTCGGGACTATAGTCTAGTCTATAGTCTGGACTATAGTCTAGTCTATAGTCTGGACTATAGTCTAGTCTATAGTCTGGACTATAGTCTGGACTATAGTCTGGACTATAGTCTAGTCTATAGTCTGGACTATAGTCTGGACTATAGTCTAGTCTATAGTCTGGACTATAGTCTAGTCTATAGTCTGGACTATAGTCTAGTCTATAGTCTGGACTATAGTCTAGTCTATAGTCTGGACTATAGTCTAGTCTATAGTCTGGACTATAGTCTAGTCTATAGTCTGGACTATATATAGTCTAGTCTATAGTCTGGACTATATATAGTCTAGTCTATAGTCTGGACTATATATAGTCTAGTCTATATTCTGGACTATATATAGTGTGGTCTATAGTCTGGACTATAGTCTATAGCCTGGACTATAATCTAGTCTATAGTCTGGACTGTAGTCTATAGTCTGGACTATGGTCTAGTCTATAGTCTGGATTATAGTCTAATCTTCAGTCAAGATTATAATCTGGTCTATAATCTATATGAATTAAAGTATGAACTAATAGCCAGGTCTGGACATTTTGGCCATTTTTTCCCACAAATAATGACAACTATAATTTCATACTCTGGCAACTCTAGTATTTATTTTATGTTCTCTATATCTCTCATTCTCTTTCCCTCTCTTTTTATTACTCTCTGTTTATGTTTTAAAAATAACTCATTGTTGTTGTTGCAAAGAGTTTTTGTGAGACCCGAACACGCGCTAGATGGTCGCCTTTATGCACACCATCAGTAGTTGTTGAATAGCAGTTAAACATTGAACTTTGTAACAATTTTGTCTAGTGATTTTGTAATTTTATGTACAATATAAAATATATTAAAAAATTAAATGTTTTAATTGCTTTAATTTCCCAATAAAAAATTACAAAAACAAGTAAGTAAAGTGTAAATATCGCCCTTAAAGCAACTTTTAACATTTATAAACCAAAACTCCTTACAGCACCATGACTATAGCGGAATTTTTAAATTATATACTGTGTCGCGATCAGGTGCAGATCATGTGTTTTAAGGGAGGTCCAGAATTTGAGTTCATCTGTTGGTGTTTACTGTCCGCCGCTGCTATGTATGTATTCTATTTGTGGCGTGAGGGACCCTATTATACTAAGCAGAATCGTTTGGATGGTAAAGTGGTGGTGATAACCGGCTGTAATACCGGCATAGGCAAAGAGACCGCTTTGGAAATGGCGAAGCGAGGAGCCAGGGTCTACATGGCCTGTCGTAATTTCGATAAATGTGAAAAAGCTAGAAGAGAAATTGTCAATTTGTCCGGCAACACTCAAGTATTCAATCGTACTTTGGATTTGTCCTCCTTAAAATCGGTCAGAGAATTTGCGGAAAATTTCTTAAAAGAAGAGAAACGTTTGGATATTTTAATCAATAATGCTGGGATAATGAGCACCCCACGCAAACTTACCCAAGATGGTTTTGAGCAACAATTCGGTGTTAATCATTTGGGTCATTTTCTTTTAACTAATCTACTCCTCGATTTGATAAAGGCCTCAGCTCCCAGTCGCATAGTGGTGGTCAGCTCATTGGCTCATATTTTTGGTAATTTTGATAAAGAAGACATGAATTTGGAAAAGTCTTATACCCGTTTTGGAGCCTATGGTCGCAGTAAATTGTCTAATATTTTATTTACCCGCAAATTGGGTCGTATGCTGAAAGACTCAAATGTTAGCGTTAATTGTTTACACCCGGGCTCAGTGCAATCCGAATTAACACGTTATGATCCTGTTTTGAATTTCTTTAGTTCCATATTTTCGAAATTTGTTTTACGTTCTACGAAAGGAGGAGCTCAAACAATTTTGTATTTGGCTTTAGATCCTGAAATGCAGGATAAAACTGGTGGCTATTATGACAGAATGAAATTGTATCCTTTACTGGCGAAGGCTAGAGATGATGAAATGGCTGATTGGTTGTGGCAGGAGAGTGAAAAGCTGGTGGGTTTGAAGGAGAAGTAAAGAGGAGGAGAGAAAATTGCTATGCAAGGGTTCTGCATGTAAGATTTTGTTATTCAAAATAAAGTGTTTTTGTAATAAATAATTATGATAAAAATCTAAATCTTAATAAATAAGTTAAAATATATATATATTTTTAAGAAAACTTATATATTTTTTTTTGTTTAAGTAATTTATAGTTAAGACTAGTCAATAATCTGGGCTATGGTTTAGTTTATACACTAGACTATAATCTAGTCAATAGTGTGGACTGTTGTCTATAGTCTGGACTCTATTCTAATCTATAGTCTTAACTATACACTACACATATTCTAGTGTATAGTATAGACTATAGTCTATTGCTTGGACTGCAGCCTAGCCTATAGTATGGACTATAATTTGGTATATAGTCTATATCTAAAATCTGACCTATTGTACAAACTAGTTTATATCATAGACTATAATCTGAGCTATCTATAACCTCGACTAAAGTCTAGTCTATAGTCCTGTCTAGTCTATAGTCTAGTCTATAGTATAGACTAGAGTGTAGACTAGACTATAAACTACACTATTGACTTCACTAGACTATAGACTAGACTTTAGTCCTAGCATATAGTCTAGACTATAGCCTAGTCTATATTCTAGTCTATAGTATAGTCTATAGTCTAGTCTATAGTCTAGTCTATAGTCTAGTCTTTAGTCTAGTCTATAGTCTAATCTATAGTCTAGTCTGTAGTCTAGTCTATAGTCTAGTCTATAGTATTGTGTCTAGTCAAGTATATAGTCAAGTCTATAGTCTAGTCTATAGTCTAGTATATATTCTAGTCTATAGTCTAGTCCATACTCTAGTCTATATTCTAGTCTATACACGAGTCTAGTCTATAGTATAGTCCATAGTCTAGTCTATAGTATAGTCCATAGTCTAGTCTATAGTCTAGTCTATAGTCTAGTCTATAGTCTAGTCTATAGTCTAGTCTTTAGTCTAGTCTAGTCTATGGTCTAATCTATAGTTTAGTCTACAGTCTAGTCTATATTCTAGTCTATAGTCTAGTCTATAGTCTAGTCTATAGTCTAGTCTATAGTCTAGTCTATAGTCTAGTCTATAGTCTAGTCTATAGTCTAGTCTATAGTCTAGTCTATAGTCTAGTCTATAGTCTAGTCTATAGTCTAGTCTATAGTCTAGTCTATAGTCTAGTCTATAGTCTAGTCTATAGTCTAGTCTATAGTCTAGTCTATAGTCTAGTCTATAGTCTAGTCTATAGTCTAGTCTATAGTCTAGTCTATAGTCTAGTCTATAGTCTAGTCTATAGTCTAGTCTATAGTCTAGTCTATAGTCTAGTCTATAGTATAGTCTATAGTATAGTCTATAGTCTAGTCTATGGTATAGTCTATAGTCTAGTCTATAGTCTAGTCTATAGTCTTAGTCTATAGTCTAGTCTATAGTCTTAGTCTATAGTCTAGTCTATAGTCTAGTCTATAGTCTAGTCTATAGTCTAGTCTATAGTCTAGTCTATAGTCTAGTCTATAGTCTAGTCTATAGTCTAGTCTATAGTCTAGTCTATAGTCTAGTCTATAGTCTAGTCTATAGTCTAGTCTATAGTCTAGTCTATAGTCTAGTCTATAGTCTAGTCTATAGTCTAGTCTATAGTCTAGTCTATAGTCTAGTCTATAGTCTAGTCTATAGTCTAGTCTATAGTCTAGTCTATAGTCTAGTCTATAGTCTAGTCTATAGTCTAGTCTATAGTCTAGTCTATAGTCTAGTCTATAGTCTAGTCTATAGTCTAGTCTATAGTCTAGTCTAGTCTAGTCTATAGTCTAGTCTATAGTCCTAGTCTATAGTCTAGTCTATAGTCTAGTCTATAGTCTAGTCTATAGTCTAGTCTATAGTCTAGTCTATAGTCTAGTCTATAGTCTAGTCTATAGTCTAGTCTATAGTCTAGTCTATAGTCTAGTCTATAGTCTAGTCTATAGTCTAGTCTATAGTCTAGTCTATAGTCTAGTCTATAGTCTAGTCTATAGTCTAGTCTATAGTCTAGTCTATAGTCTAGTCTATAGTCTAGTCTATAGTCTAGTCTAGTCTAGTCTATAGTCTAGTCTATAGTCTAGTCTATAGTCTAGTCTATAGTCTAGTCTATAGTCTAGTCTATAGTCTAGTCTATAGTCTAGTCTATAGTCTAGTCTATAGTCTAGTCTATAGTCTAGTCTATAGTCTAGTCTATAGTCTAGTCTATAGTCTAGTCTATAGTCTAGTCTATAGTCTAGTCTATAGTCTAGTCTATAGTCTAGTCTATAGTCTAGTCTATAGTCTAGTCTATAGTCTAGTCTATAGTCTAGTCTATAGTCTAGTCTATAGTCTAGTCTATAGTCTAGTCTATAGTCTAGTCTATAGTCTAGTCTATAGTCTAGTCTATAGTCTAGTCTATAGTCTAGTCTATAGTCTAGTCTATAGTCTAGTCTATAGTCTAGTCTATAGTCTAGTCTATAGTCTAGTCTATAGTCTAGTCTATAGTCTAGTCTATAGTCTAGTCTATAGTCTAGTCTATAGTCTAGTCTATAGTCTAGTCTATAGTCTAGTCTATAGTCTAGTCTATAGTCTATAGTCTATAGTCTAGTCTAGTCTATAGTCTAGTCTAGTCTATAGTCTAGTCTAGTCTATAGTCTAGTCTAGTCTAGTCTATAGTCTAGTCTATAGTCTAGTCTATAGTCTAGTCTATAGTCTAGTCTATAGTCTAGTCTATAGTCTAGTCTATAGTCTAGTCTATAGTCTAGTCTATAGTCTAGTCTATAGTCTAGTCTATAGGTCTAGTCTATAGTCTAGTCTATAGTCTAGTCTATAGTCTAGTCTATAGTCTAGTCTATAGTCTAGTATATAGTCTTGTCTATAGTTTAGTCTATAGTTTAGTCTATAGTCTAGTCTACAGTCTAATCTATAGTCTAGTCTATAGTCTAAAAATAAAGTTAACGCTTTACCATTGTTTATGAGGGTTCTTTCCTTCTTCATTATTATACTTTCCCTGTTCTCAAAATAATTTTCTTTACAAAACTTTCTGTCCGAAAATCTCTTCCGGCAATTCTCCTTAAGATGCATTACTGTGTCCTATTGTTTTGCCGCAATATTTACCTTTTCGTCTACTGCTAACTTTTCTACAAGATAGTCCACAATTATAAAAGAACTAGTTATTATTTTGTTACTTTCTTTAAATAAGAATGAGCTGCTTTTGTAAATAATTTTCGAAAAAGAAATTTTCTAAATTACGCGCTGTTATATTGTTGTTAGTTACAAAAAGAATTGTTATTTGTTGTTGTTGCAACATTTAAATGTGCAACAAGCAGACAAAAATATCTTCAGGCTAATAGTTCTATTCTTTTGTAAAGTAGCAGTCTGCGGCTCAAAGAAATATAAAAGAGAAAACTATTGTTGATAGATGATAATAAAAGATAAGAGACAGCCACTACTACTACCACCACTTTTAAATACTACTACTTATGTAATGAAAGAATTAAAAGGCATACTTTTAGGAGAAGATAAATACATACTTTAAAGACTACTTTCAGGTACAGAAAAAAATTAAGTGTCCTTTAAATAGAAGAAAACTTAATATTAGGGAAAAACTCAAAAAATAAAAGAAAATATATAAACATTTCTTTATTCAACGATTCATAGAATTTTTCTATAATCCATCTTATTATCGTCTATTAAATCCTTATGTACCACATTTTTTTCTACATTTGTTTAACAAAGTCTTAATAAACTTTAAATCATTAAATCGTACAATTATTTCATGTCATATATGTATATAAATTTTGTTGTATTTTATTGTTTTGGTTTTTAATGATATACAACTCATATATGTACCTTATTTAAAGCATATAAGCATGCTGTTGTGTTGTAGCTTTAAGCATAACATACTTTAGGGGATTTTTTTAATGTAACGGATGCCTGAGTTAGTAACCCAAAATGAACAAACAGACTATAATACTACTGGTAGCAGAACAACTTTAATTTATTTATATACAGGGATTTTGACTAACATGTTTTTGTGTTCGGTTACAGAGAGACAGTGACACTTTAATAAACAGTGGACAAGGAAATAGGTTAGGATATAATTTAGACTACATTGCAGAGCAAACAAATCACAATCCAAAGTGTAGTCCCAATTAACTTGAGTCCAAATTATCTATCTATAGACCGAATTAAAGATTATCGCAAGCGGACTATATTCTGAACCCTATACTCGCCTAACCTATAGTGTAGGCTATACTCTAGCCTGTAGTCTGAACTATATTCTGAAAATCTGTTTACAGTCTCACTAACTAACTAACTAACTAACTAACTAACTAACTAACTAACTAACTACTAACTAACTAACTAACTAACTAACTAACTAACTAACTAACTAACTAACTAACTAACTAACTACTACTAACTAACTAACTAACTAACTAACTACTAACTAACTACTAACTAACTAACTAACTAACTAACTAACTAACTAACTAACTAACTAACTAACTAACTAACTAACTAACTAACTAACTAACTAACTAACTAACTACTAACTAACTAACTAACTAACTAACTAACTAACTAACTAACTAACTAACTAACTAACTAACTAACTAACTACTAACTAACTAACTAACTAACTAACTAACTAACTAACTAACTAACTAACTAACTAACTAACTAACTAACTAACTAACTACTAACTAACTAACTAACTACTAACTAACTAACTAACTAACTAACTAACTAACTAACTAACTAACTAACTAACTAACTAACTAACTAACTAACTAACTAACTAACTAACTAACTAACAAACTAACTAACTAACTAACTAACTAACTAACTGACTGACTGACTAACTAACTAACTCTCTACCTAACTAACTGGACTATGGTCCAATCTATAGTCTGGACTATGCGCCAATCTATAGTCTCGACTATGGTCTAATCTATAGTTTTGACTATAGTTTAGTCTATAGTCTGGACTATAGTTTAGTCTATAGTATATAGTCTGGTCTGTACTTTAGTCTATAGTCTGGACTATAGTTTAGTCTATAGTCTGGACAATAGAGTAGTCTATAGCCTGGACTATAGTTTCGTCTATAGTCTGCACTATAGTTTAGTCTATAGTCTGGACTAAAGTTTAGTCTATAGTCTGGACTATAAGTTAGTCTTTTGTCTGGACTATAGTTTAGTCTGTAGTCTAGACTATAGTTTAGTCTATAGTCTGGACTATAGTTTAGTCCATAGTCTATCCTAAAGTCTAGTCAAGTCAACGGTTTAAACTATTGGACTATGTAGTCTGCAGTCAGGAGTATAGTTTAAACTATAATTTAGTTTGATATTACGTGTATAGTCTAGTCTGTAGTTTGGAATATAGTCTAGTATATACTCTAGTCTAGTCTATAGTCTCGCCTATAGTCTAGTCTATATATAGTCTATAGTCCAGTCTATAGTCCAGACTATAGACTAGTCTAGTTTTGTCTATAGTCTACACTATAGTTTAATCTATAGTCTGGACTATAAGTCAGTCTTTTGACTGGACTATAGTTTAGTCTATAGTCTAGACTATAGTTTAGTCTATAGTCTGGACTATAGTTTAGTCTATGGTCCAGTCTATATTCTAGGCTATAGTCTAGCCTATAGTCTAGCCTATAGTCTAGCTATAGTCTAGTCTATAGTCTAGTCTATAGTCTGGTCTATAGTCTAGTCTATAGTCTAGTCTATAGTCTAATCTATAGTCTAGTCTATAGTCTAGTCTATAGTCTAGTCTATAGTCTAGTCTATAGTCTAGTCTATAGTCTAGTCTATAGTCTAGTCTATAGTCTAGTCTATAGTCTAGTCTATAGTCTAGTCTATAGTCTAGTCTATAGTTTAGTCTAGTCTATAGTCTAGTCTATAGTCTAGTCTAGTCTATAATCTAGTCTATAGTCTAGTCTATAGTCTAGTCTATAGTCTAGTCTATAGTCTAGTCTATAGTTTAGTCTATAGTCTTGTCTATAGTCTAGTCTATAGTCTAGTCTATAGTCTAGTCTATAGTCTAGTCTATAGTCTATTCTATAGTCTAGTCTATAGTCTAGTCTATAGTCTAGTCTATAGTCTAGTCTATAGTTTAGTCTAGTCTATAGTCTAGTCTATAGTCTAGTCTAGTCTATAATCTAGTCTATAGTCTAGTCTATAGTCTAGTCTATAGTCTAGTCTATAGTCTAGTCTATAGTTTAGTCTATAGTCTTGTCTATAGTCTAGTCTATAGTCTACCCTATAGTCTAGTCTATAGTCTAGTCTATAGTCTAGTCTATAGTCCAGTCTATAGTCTAGTCTATAGTCTAGTCTATAGTCTAGTCTATAGTCTAGTCTATAGTCTAGTCTAGTCTATAGTCTAGTCTATAGTCTAGTCTATAGTCTAGTCTATAGTCTAGTCTATAGTCTAGTCTATAGTCTAGTCTATAGTCTAGTCTATAGTCTAGTCTATAGTCTGGTCTATAGTCTAGTCTATAGTCTAGTCTATAGTATAGTCTATAGTCTAGTCTATAGTCTAGTCTATAGTCTATTCTATAGTCTAGTCTATAGTCTAGTCTATAGTCTAGTCTATAGTCTAGTCTATAGTCTAGTCTATAGTCTAGTCTATAGTCTAGTCTATAGTCTAGTCTATAGTCTAGTCTATAGTCTAGTCTATAGTCTAGTCTATAGTCTAGTCTATAGTCTAGTCTATAGTATAGTCTATAGTCTAGTCTATAGTCTAGTCTATAGTCTATGTAGTCTATAGTCTAGTTTATAATCTCGATTATAGTCTATAATTTGAATAAAAGTCTGTCCAGCTGAAACTAGTATGGCGTATAGTCTTTTTGACTTTTTTTCAAGCCAGTTTTGCCCTCCACTGTTTTACCATATATTGTGGTATAAATCTGTAGTAGTAAAAAAAGTATGCCTTCCGGTGAAATGACAATCTGTTTGTTTTATAACCGAATGAAAGAATGACATACATATACTAGTAAAATTAAAGTTACACATACTATAGAACGTTGACAATATTGGCACAAAAGGTAAGAGGAGTTTATCATATATGTATGTATAAGTGGTCATATATGGTTTATAGGAACCTCTTGATTTTAAATATCCCATCTTACTCTCCACGCCAGACATTTACTCATTCAGTTACTTTGGAAAAAGTCAGTTGGTTTTACAGCAGTTTTCTTTTTGTTATGTTATTTTATACAAAAAAAAAACATTACTTTTTCCGGTATAATGAAGCATAAAGATTATAAATAAAATATAATAAAAGAGAATGGAATAAAAAATAGGAAAAAAGAAGAGAAGTGCCAGCATTAACAATGGCTTTAACAGTTGAGTTGTATGGAAAAACTTTTTATACAAAATAATCATACAAAAAAAAAGGAAAAAAGAGTGCAACAAAACAAAAGAATATATATGAAGTTACGATTTTGAAAAGGAAACGGAAACATATGCATGTTATTTATTTATGCATAAAAGAAGTGGAAAAAAACTGGAGTAGTATAAATGATGAAACTATTTAAATAAATATATTTCAACATTTATTTTTGCTGCTACAGCTCCTCTCATGTTGTAGCAACAAAGGATTTATGTTTTATTTAAATATGTTATATGCAACAAAAGTTTTGAAGAAGTTTTTTTCCTGTTCTACTGTGTGGCAGCCAACAATATTTAGACTGAATGCAGAAAGTTTAAACAAAATATTAAAAACAAAGTGTTTAAAAAAAAACCCAGAAAAAGTTTGCAGTTTGTTTTGTTTTAACCAAAAATTGTTGTAGTTTGTGTTCAAAAAATTTTAAAAATATTATATTATATTTTATTAAAAACTTTAGTTATTTAGCTTTTAAATGGCATTTGAAATTTTTCAATCGCTCTCCTCTAGCCAGAGTTATAGAGATTTTAAAATTTTTGAATAACAGTACGTATGATTAATATTAATTCAGAGTTTTAAGGACAAAAACCTTCATAACTTTTAAACTATAAGAGCTAATAGAAAACTGTAAAAAGGTATCAAATCTTAAGACCTGTAGGATTCCTACCATAAACTTTAATATTAAAAGCAGTCCCTGATTTTAAAGCTATAAGCTTTGTAAGTCAATATAAAATTATTTATTTTAATAAAAATTTTGCAATTTCTTTAAAAATATCATAAATTAACTTTTAGCACTTACCTTTTCTCTTAACATATCACGTATACGTCCCGCTTGATTCTTGGAACGATGCAGCTCCAATTGTAATTCCAAACAACGTTCTTGCCAATTGATCTAAAACGAAAATGTATTAAAAATCCATTTTCTTCTTCTCTTTGCACGCAAAAAACTAACCTCTGGCACTGGCTGAGCATAATTATTAACCTGATGTACATCCAAATAATCCGTTAAAGAGGAAAAATGTGGCCAAGGAGCATCTGCCCCATCCAATGAGGAAACTGGATTTATAACTCCATTACCCTCTTTTTGATTAGACTTATTACTACTGGAACTAGTCGTAGATGAAGTACTCGGTATACTTGTCGGTTTAGCGGGTATGGGAGGAGGCTTAGCTTGCCTTCGAGGCATTAAACGTGGACTATTAGGGGTAGATTGTGCCGTTTGCTGTATATGCTGATGTTGTTTATGACCCGCAGCCGACACATTAAGATTATCCATTTGTTGTCTATTTAAAGGGATTTGACCACTAAACGATATAGCTCTTTTAGTTAATAAAGGAGAAGCGGTTAAGGACTGAGAGGTGGCATATAACTGAGGAGGTAATGAATGCTGCTGCTGTTGTGTATGTTGCAAATAGGATGAAGGCATCATAGGAGCCGCATTATGCTGCTGATAGTGATGATATTGCTGTTGCATTAAATGTTGCTGCTGCAGATGGCTAGGAGTATGGGTAGAGGGAAAAGTATGCAAATAATTGTGAACACCATGACCCACACCAAAACCACCTCCACCAGCACCAACTCCTACCTCTCTCTCCCCCACATCATGTGCACGCACATGAAAATAATTATGTGTTTGTGTTAAATACTGATAGTTTTGCTGCTGGTGCTGCTGATAATGTTGAAAATGTGAACTAGTACTACTGCTAGCTCCACTGCCATTACTGCCACCACCCAAAGAAGCTGGTGTCGCTCGACCCGACGTAGAGGGTGAGGGTGAAGAAGAGGCAGAACGTCTACGATTTATAGCCAATTGTTGCTGGTAGTGTGTAGTGGAGGGTTGTTGTTGTAGATTGGTTAACGGATCAAAGATCTGTGACAGTCTTCCCGAAGGCACTTCGTCGGACATTTAGGTGGTTTTTTTGGTTTGATTTTAGATTTGATAGAAGAAAGAGGGCAGGAAGTTTTAGTTTTGTCTAGAGTTTATGTTCTTTTAAGGCGGCGTTTTAAGTATCTTTATAGTGGACTTGCATGACTTTGGTGTTTTAGCTAAAATTAAAAAGAAACAAGAGAATAAATTAGGATCAAAGTTTCTAATTTTCGGCTTAAAACTGTTTCACAAGAAAACATCTTCAAATTAAGCTAAAATAATTAAAGGCATACAAAAAGTTTTAAATCTGGACTGGACTGGACTTTAGCCTGCAGAAGAGTTGAGACCATAGTTCGGATTATATCTAGGACTATAGTACGCAATATATTATAGTCTAGTCGGGAGTACAGTGTAGTCCATATTCTGGACCACAGTCTAGTCTAAGGTCTGGACCATAGTTTAGTCTATAGTCTGGAACACAGTCTAGTCTATAGTCTGGACCAAAGTCTAGAATATATTCGCGACTGTAGCCTAACTATAGTCTGGACCATATTCTAGTCTATAGGCTAGTCTATAGTGTAGTCTATAGTCTATTCTATAGGCTAGTCTACATTGCAGTCTATAGTCTAGTCTATAGTCTAGTCTATAGTCTAGTCAATAGTCTAGTCTATAGTCTAGTCTATAGACTATTCTATAGTCTAGTCTATAGTCTAGTCTATAGTCTAGTCTATAGTCTAGTCTATAGTCTAGTCTATAGTCTAGTCTATAGTCTAGTCTATAGTCTAGTCTAGTCTATAGTCTAGTCTATAGTCTAGTCTATAGTCTAGTCTATAGTCTAGTCTATAGTCTAGTCTATAGTCTAGTCTATAGTCTAGTCTATAGTCTAGTCTATAGTCTAGTCCATAGTCTAGTCTATAGTCTAGTCTATAGTCTAGTCTATAGTCTAGTCTTTAGTCTAGTCTATAGTCTAGTCTATAGTCTAGTCTATAGTCTAGTCTATAGTCTAGTCTATAGTCTAGTCTATAGTCTAGTCTATAGACTAGTCTATAGTCTACTCTATAATCTAGTCTATAGTGTAGATATAGATATAGTCTATTCTAGTCTATAGTCCATTCTACAATCTACTCTATACTCCAGTCTTTAGTCTAGTATATAGTCTGGTCTACTGTACTGCCTAGTCTATAGTTTGGACAATGGTCTGGCCTATAATCGGAGCTACTACTACTACTATCACTCAAATCGGCACATTCCGTTTTTTGGAACACATTTCCGCCAAAAACTACCTTTTTCCTGGAAACCACCAAAAAGCACCTTCTTTTTAGCAAAATAATGGCAAGAAGTTCCCAGTAATAATTTACAACTGCACATGGTGATGGCAGAGAGTTATGAATTTGATGTTTGAGTATACAATTACAAATTTACATTTTTGTTGCAATTGTGACTGCTGCTCCTTGAATACTAAGTAAAATATTACATGAAGATGAAAACGAGCCTCATTCAAACACACACACACATACACTTTAGGGATTGAATGACTTACAACTGAAACATGTTGTCTTCTTCAAACAAACAATAACTGCAACAGTGCGCACCAGTGTCTTTTTCAATAAATATTTGTGATTTGACATTTCCGTTTAATGTGTTCAACAGGGTCTGGTTTTGTAAGAATTATTCTTGTTGTTGTTGTTGTTGCAAGTAACTGCAATGGCACGTTGTAATATTAAACAAATTTTAGTTACTTGTCTTGCCTCTGTTGGTAGTTGTTGTTGTGTTTGTATAAATTTTGGTTTGATTGCATGCCTGAGTGGCAGTCCAGGCAGTTAATGGTCGGTTTGGCTGTCTTTGGCTCTAGTATTTATTTGAAGTTATTAATATTTATACGTGTGCTAATAAATAAATTGTTGCAGTTAGTATGAACAAAAGGTTGTTAAAAGTACAGTTACTTAAATGAGTGTTAACATCTTCCATGCTATATTTATAATTTTTAAATTTTGTTTTAAAGTTTTGACTATTTTAATACTCTGCTTTTCTACAGCCAGTTTAAACACACATGCTTTTCACATGAATTTTGCAGTAATGAAAGGAAATTAATTCTACAATAATATTTTCACAAATTAATTTATTAAAATATACCAACAGACATTTAATTCTCTAGCCGTTTCTCTCCCTCTTTCTTTCTCTACTAAATACATTTAAACTTTTATATACTAAATTTAAATGTCAAAGACATGTTGATGTTTATTAAAGTTTTGTAAATGTGTATGCGTGCACTTGACAATAATGAATGAGTAATTTATAGTTGTAAAAGTATGTTTGTAACGTATAATTTAAAATTAAATTTAAATTAAATAATAAATTTAATTGCTATTCTTATATCCCAAAAAGTAGGCAGCAAAATAAAAACTAAAAAAAGACTAAAAATGCATTTAAATTTCTTATAGACTAGAGTCCAGACCTAAGACTAGATTATAGACAAGAATATAGATTAAAATATAAATTCGACTATAGACTAGACTATAGACTAGACTATAGACTAGACTATAGACTAGACTATAGACTAGACTATAGACTAGACTATAGACTAGACTATAGACTAGACCTATAGACTAGACTATAGACTAGACTATAGACTAGGACTATAGGACTAGACTATAGACTAGACTATAGACTAGACTATAGAGTAGACTATAGACTAGACTATAGACTAGACTATCACTAGACTAGACTAGACTATAGACTAGACTATAGACTAGACTATAGACTAGACTATAGACTAGACTATAGACTAGACTATAGACTAGACTATAGACTAGACTATAGACTAGACTATAGACTAGACTATAGACTAGACTATAGACTAGACTATAGACTAGACTATAGCTAGACTAGACTGACTATAGACTAGACTATAGACTAGACTATAGACTAGACTATAGACTAGACTAGGACTAATAGACTAGACTATAGACTAGACTATAGACTAGACTATAGACTAGACTATAGACTAGACTATAGACTAGACTATAGACTAGACTATAGACTAGACTATAGACTAGACTATAGACTAGACTATAGACTAGACCTATAGACTAGACTATAGACTAGACTAGAGACTAGACTATAGACTAGACTATAGACTAGACTATAGACTAGACTATAGACTAGACTATAGACTAGACTATAGACTAGACTATAGACTAGACTATAGACTAGACTATAGACTAGACTAAGACTAGAATAGACTAGACTATAGACTAGACTATAGACTAGACTATAGACTAGACTATAGACTAGACTATAGACTAGACATAGACTAGACATAGAATAGACTTAGACTAGACTAGACTATAGACTAACTATAGACTAGACTATAGACTAGACTATAGACCAGACTACAGACTAGACTATAGACTAGACTATAGACTAGACTATAGACTAGACTATAGACTAGACTATAGACTAGACTATAGACTAGACTATAGACTAGACTATAGACTAGACTATAGACTAGACTATAGACTAGACTATAGACTAGACTATAGACTAGACTATAGACTAGACTATAGACTAGACTATAGACTAGACTATAGACTAGACAATAGACTAGACTATAGACTAGACTATAGACTAGACTATAGACTAGACTATAGACTAGACTATAGACTAGACTATAGACTAGACTATAGACTAGACTATAGACTAGACTATAGACTAGACTATAGACTAGACTATAGACTAGACTATAGACTAGACTATACTCTAGACTATAGACTAGACTAGACTAGACTATAGACTAGACTATAGACTAGACTATAGACTAGACTATAGACTAGACTATAGACTAGACTATACACTAGACTAGACTAGACTATAGACTAGACTAGACTATAGACTAGACTATAGACTAGACTATAGACTAGACTATAGACTAGACTATAGACTAGACTATAGACTAGACTATAGACTAGACTATAGACTAGACTATAGACTAGACTATAGACTAGACTATAGACTAGACTATAGACTAGACTATAGACTAGACTATAGACTAGACTATAGACTAGACTATAGACTAGACTATAGACTAGACTATAGACTAGACTATAGACTAGACAATAGACTAGACTATAGACTAGACTATAGACTAGACTATAGACTAGACTATAGACTAGACTATAGACTAGACTATAGACTAGACTATAGACTAGACTATAGACTAGACTATAGACTAGACTATAGACTAGACTATAGACTAGACTATAGACTAGACTATAGACTAGACTATAGACTAGACTATAGACTAGACTATAGACTAGACTATAGACTAGACTATAGACTAGACTATAGACTAGACTATAGACTAGACTATAGACTAGACTATAGACTAGACTATAGACTAGACAATAGACTAGACTATAGACTAGACTATAGACTAGACTATAGACTAGACTATAGACTAGACTATAGACGAGACTATAGACTAGACTATAGACTAGACTATAGACTAGACTATAGACTAGACTATAGACTAGACTATAGACCAGACTATAGACTAGACTATAGACTAGACTATAGACTAGACTATAGACTAGACTATAGACTAGACTATAGACTAGACTATAGACTAGACTATAGACTAGACTATAGACTAGACTATAGACTAGACTATAGACTAGACTATAGACTAGACTATAGACTAGACTATAGACTAGACTATAGACTAGACTATAGACTAGACTATAGACTAGACTATAGACTAGACTATAGACTAGACTATAGACTAGACTATAGACTAGACTATAGACTAGACTATAGACTAGACTATAGACTAGACTATAGACTAGACTATACTCTAGACTATACTCTAGACTATAGACTAGACTAGACTAGACTATAGACTAGACTATAGACTAGACTATAGACTAGACTATAGACTAGACTATAGACTAGACTATAGACTAGACTATAGACTAGACTATAGACCTAGACTATAGACTAGACTATAGACTAGACTATAGACTAGACTATAGACGAGACTATAGACTAGACTATAGACTAGACTATAGACTAGACTATAGACTAGACTATAGACTAGACTATAGACTAGACTATAGACCAGACTATAGACTAGACTATAGACTAGACTATAGACTAGACTATAGACTAGACTATAGACTAGACTATAGACT